TTCACATATATTTCCCCATATATTATATATATTTCAGATGCAATTTAAAGGACATGGGGACGTGCGGAATTATACAGTATGATTGAACAAATTTAACTGTGTCTTGGGTATATTTTTAGATGAAAGACATATGTAAAATCAAAAATTATTTCTGAGGGATTATTTGACAAAGAACTCGAAATCATACGCGCATTCTGATTGGTTTGTCGTATTTTCGCACATAACATTCATCGATAGGGGGACGAGTCTTCTTGCAGGTTACGGAGAGGGGCAAGTGGTGACGAATGGCAAAATGGATATTTCTTAAAGTGCGCACTTTTCGTCGTTATTGTAAGTGATGTTCCTTTTCGCCGGAATGGCTTGTTTTTACTTTGTTAGCACATATACAGCTTTTTTAGCCACATTAGTTTCATTATAAGCACATATACAGTATTAGCACACATACAGCGTTTTCGTTGATTAATAATCACGATATTTCGTGATTCTATTGCAAGTATCGAGGACTTTGTAGTTTATGAGATGTCAACACTTGTGACATTCTTTTTCTTTCTTTCTGGGTAACTGAGTGAGTTTAAACAAACATTCGGGACCAACAAGCCGAAGAGCGACTCGTGCCCCTCTCATGACCATTTTTGCGACCGGGTTCCCTCTTAGCGCAAACGGGCATACCTAAAACAATTGTCAACTCGTTGCCTGATGGCTCACATACATTTCCCCATATGTTATATATATATTTCAGATGCAATTTCAAGCATATCTGGACATGCGGAATTATACAGTATGATTGAACACATTTAATTGTGTCTTGGGTATATTTTTTAGATGCAAGACATATGTATGTGACGAATGTTTAAACAATGTGCTTTGAACGACGCTCAGTTATATCACAGCGCGTTAACTTAATCAAGGCGGCAAGCGGAGAGACATGCATAGTTCCCAGCAATTCATAGTGACACGTTTTTTCGCCATTGGTTGTGCAGAGAAGTATCCCTCAGCTGCAAGTCGTATGTTCGAATCCCAGGTTCGCTCCGATCATGGACGGCGGTATCTCCATCACGTGACCTGTCTCCCATATCCAGCTGGTCTATCGACGATGTTGCTGAAAGCAGCGTAAACTTTTACATTACTTAAGATCAATATCAGCCACCGGTTGCCAGAGACAAGACGTCCCACTGATCTGGCTAGCTTGCTAGACTCTCATTAAGCACTGAGAGCTTGATCTTTCACAACGACCCAAGCGCATGTAAAATATCTCACAATAACACTGACTTGAACACAGTCCACGGCAGGCAACCATTTCGTCAATGAAATCGTTTATTCCACAATGCATTTCTCCCTTCCAAACAGTTTTGTTTCTAATGTTGATTTCGTACAGCTAGCTAGACTTGTCTATTTATGATCCAGACTGGTTTTGATCAAATTCAGTGCAGATATCCCACAGTCCTGGTCCTGGTGCTTCTGATACTACTACTGCCTCTACTACTACTACTACTACTACTACTACTACTACTACCTCTACTACTACTACTACTACTACTACTACCTCTACTACTACTACTACTTCTACCTCTACTACTACTACTACTACTACTACTACTACCTCTACTACTACTACTACTACTACTACTACTACCTCTACTTCTACTACTACTACTACTACCTCTACTACTACTACTACTACTACTACTACCTCTACTTCTACTACTACTACTACTACTACTACTACTACTACTACTACTACTACTACTACCTCTACTACTACTACTTCTACTACTACTGCTACCTCTACTACTACTACTACTACTACTACTACTACTACTACTACTACTACTACTACTACTACTACCACCTCTACTACTACTACTACTACTACTACTACTACTACTACTACTACTACTACTACCTCTACTACTACTACTACTACTACCTCTACTACTACTACTACTACTACCTCTACTACTACTACTACTACTACTACTACTACCTCTACTACTACTACTACTACTACTACTACCTCTACTACTACTACTTCTACTACTACTACTACTACTACTACTACCTCTACTACTACTACTACTACTACTACCTCTACTACTACCTCTACTACTACTACTACTACTACTACCTCTTCTACTACTACTACTACTACTACTACTACTACTACTACTTCTACTACTACGACAACTACTGATACTTCTGCTGCTAATATTACAAGTACTATTACTACTACTACCTCTACTACAACAACAACAACTACTACTACTACTACTACTGCTACTACTACGACAACTACTGGTACTACTACTGCTGCTAATACTACAAGTACTATTACTACTACTGCTGCTACAACAACAACACCAACACCAACAACTACAACTACTACTACTACTACTACTACTACAACTACTACTACTACTACTTCTACTACTACCGCCTCCGTGGTCTAGTGGTAGAGCGTCCGTCCGGGGTTCGATCCCCGGCCGCGTCATACCAAAAGACGTTAAAAGATGGTACTTATTGTTACCCTGTCTGGCGCTCGGCATTAAGGGGCATTAAGGGTCGGCTCGGAGTCAGTATACTGTGTCTGAGTGGGGTATTCATGTTAAACTGCGGCATGGTATCTCAGTGAGCTAGCACTTTAAATCGGCATCAGTTCGGACTAGTACAAGCAGCCACACAAACACACACACGTGCATGCACGTCGCTATATATAAGTGCAATAATCTTGGACGCGACGTTAAACTCAATTTCACCTGAACTCACCTCTCTTATTATATCAACAACATAAAAAAAACAGTCACATCAATTGACCATTTTTAGGATCAATGCAATTTACGTTTTAATCCATTGTTGTTCACACAAGCCAGATCGTAAAGCGACTAGAGATGTTAATGCATAATATAGAACTGCATAAACTTTATTTTCTTTTAGAGATCAATGCAATTTACGTTATGACGTCAGGTTGAAACACACTGGAAGTGTGTGTAGTCAGGAGGCAGAGGTCCGTACACCACTGATGGGGGTTCCATCACATCAGCATCACAACACAACCATCCACCGGGGGAGCCAGAGGAGCAACCACGTCTTTTTGCAGCCTGAGACAACGTGTGCAAGCATATGTAACCCCCATCCAGCAGCTGTGTCAAGATGCGCTGTCCTCAGTGTCTGACCCAGCTACCACCGGATCTTTTGTAAGTGTGACACCAGGACTCTTCTATCGGGTCTCAGAAGCAAAGTCCTTGCCGAAGACCTTGACGGAAGATCTGCTGGAGGGAGGGTGGACGGAAACGAAAACTAGAGATCAGTTTCTGTGTGTGAATGATGGAGACGATGACAAGCTGCTTGTGTTTGCCGCTGATGAACTGAAATATAGTCATGACTTTCATTATGTTATGTTTTTATTTCATTTCCCTAGTGTTTCCCATTGTGTCGACATTGCTTCGTTGTCTCAATATGGACGAGTTTATCTTCTATCACAGGTGAAACAAGTCACAGTCACAGTCACTGAGCAAGTCGTGCATCACTCTCTGAGTATCAGACAGATTCATTTCATGGCTTTACTGTAGGCACACTGGGACAGTAGGCAAACAGGGACTCTAGACACAATGGGACTGTAGTCAAACTGGGACTGTAGTCAAACAGGGACTTAAGGCAAACTGGGACTGTTGGCGAACGGGGACCGTAGGCAAACGGGGACTGTAGGCAAACGGGGACTGTAGTCAAACTGGGACTGTAGTCAAACAGGGACTTAAGGCAAACTGGGACTGTTGGCGAACGGGGACCGTAGGCAAACGGGGACTGTAGGCAAACGGGGACTGTAGGCAAACGGGGACTGTAGGCAAACGGGGACTGTAGCAACGGGGTCTGTAGTCAAACTGGGACTATAGGCAAACGGGGGCTGTAGTCAAACAGGGGCTGTAGTCAAACGGGTACTGTACTCAGACGGGGGCTGTAGTCAAACTGTGACAGTAGTCAAACGGGGGCTGTTGTCAAACTGGGACTATAGTCAAACGGGGACTGTAGGCACAATGGGACTGTAGGCAAACTGTGACTGTAGTCAAACTTGGACTGTAGTCAAACGGGGACTGTAGTCAAACTGAGACTGTAGGCAAACGGTGACTGTAGTCAAACTGTGACTGTAGTCAAACTTGGACTGTAGTCAAACTAGGACTGTAGGCAAATTGTGACTGTAGTCAAACGGGGACTGTAGTCAAACGGGGACTGTAGTCAAACTGAGACTGTAGGCCAACTTGGACTGTAGTCAAACTAGGACTGTAGTCAAACTTGGACTGTAGTCAAACTAGGACTGTAGTCAAACGGGGACTGTAGTCAAACTGTGACTGTAGTCAAACTAGGACTGTAGTCAAACGGGGACTGTAGTCAAACGGGGACTGTAGTCAAACTTGGACTGTAGTCAAACTAGGACTGTAGTCAAACTTGGACTGTAGTCAAACGGGGACTGTAGTCAAACGGGGACTGTAGGCAAACTGTGACTGTAGTCGAACTTGGACTGTAGTCAAACGGGGACTGTAGTCAAACTTGGACTGTAGTCAAACGGGGACTGTAGTAAAACTGTGACTGTAGTCAAACTTGGACTGTAGTCAAACTGGGACTGTAGTCAAACTGGGACTGTAGGCACAATGGGACTGTAGTCAAACGGGGACTGTAGGCAAACGGGGACTGTAGGCACAATGGGACTGTAGGCATCAACTGCAAATAATATTAGGTCATGGCCTGTCTTTTGAACGTTGGCATAGTAACAAAAGATATAACGGTACTTTGACTCCGTTATCAAAGGGACGTAACTCTGCATTGAGAATGTCGGATGTTTGCACCTCTAGGCCACCTCTTCTTAGCTATGTCCACACGAAATATTTTATATACAAAATATGAAAACACATCTCAGTTGTCAGTTTTGGATTATATCGATAACCTTATTTTCCGCAGGTAATCCACAATCTTGGCGCCTGAGATAAGACAATGGGATTGTCAGCCATATAAAGCCACATCCACGTGTGACACACGCAGACGCTCATTCACACCGGTCACCATGGCGATGTTAGCGGTTGTACTCGTAGCAGTGTTCCTCGGAGCAGATGCTGAGAAACGTGAGTCTGGAACACTTCATGTCCCCCTGATGGACTTTACAAGATAACACAGGGGCGGTCGGGTAGCCTAGTGGTTAAAGCGTTAGCTCGTCACGCCGAAGACCCGGGTTCGATTCCCGACATGGGTACAATGTGTGAAGCCCATTTCTGGTGTCCCCCGCCGTGATATTGCTGGAATATTGCTAAAAGCGGCGTAAAACCAAACTCACTCACTCACTACAAGATAACTCTGATCCAGAGGATGGACACGGCACAAAGACATTGTGTATACCTTTCTATTGATGTACCTGTCGGAAAACGTCAAAGTGTAACCCAGAAAGTACATTGTAATTTGCATGTGGTACTTTCAGAATCAGGAATTAGAATATGGCACATTTCAGTAGAAATATTTATGTAATATAAAAGTAGAACACAAACATATTATGAAAAGAAATTTTGTGAAATGTTTTCACAACAATGATTTCCTGAAACATTTGTTATTGTTTTCAAGGAACATGGGGTATTAAGTGGACACAATAGTGGCGGTTCACATGATACTGTTGACATTGATATTTCTGCAGTGGTAAAGTTATTAATATTGTTTTCATATTTAATCTCTTTAATGTTAAATCTACATTGTTGACATATTATTTTATAATGAAGTAGATCTGCACATGGAGACACGCAGATATTGTTAAAAAAATGAAACCCTCAACGTTGTGAGTGCGTTTGTTATTGTTTACCATGAACCATACTTCTCTATGAGATTTACCCCCCCCACCCCCCCCCACCCCCCCACCCCCCCACCCCCCCACCCCCCCCCCCCCACCCCCCCCACCCCCACTAATGGTAATATGTTTACTCCTGTAGCCTGACACGTCAATTATACACACTGTCCAAAAGTGCTAATATCTCGCTACACGGAAACTGGGTATATGCGGACTGACGTAGCGACACCAAAACACCAGTTGTCAGCCATGTTAATATACATGTCATATTTAATATCAATGGTACTCATACGTATCCCGATCTTGTCCATAAAAATATGAAGAACTTTGTACACATTGCTGACTCTTCAATGCATGTGTCAGTGAGTGAGTGAGTTGGGTTTAACGCCGCTTAGAACAGTATTGCAGTTATATCACGACGTGTCAGCTTAATGTGGGAGGAGAGCCCAAGTGATGCAGGTTTCACACGTTTACCACTTCGGTGAAACGTACGATCACGGATATTGTACTGGCGTACCACGAAATAAACTCAGAGATTAAGTGAAGATAAAATGGAATTAAATACATTTGACTGGTACTCAAATCTCGCTTTCTTTTTAGCGATCTCCTCCCCATCCTATCAGCGTCTTGTGAACTTCTACAAGCACACCCTCCCCAACAACCCCGAGTTGCTGCAACTGTGGCAGGAGCATCTCAACAACTACACCGCCATGGTGGAGGTAACGCACACACAACCACACAGGCACACTGACATTTTGGAGTATATGATTCGTCATCCAAACATCGTGTCTTGTAATGATAATAATGATTTATCTTTGACAATAGTTTCATATTCTTGCCATAGCATTAAAACAATACCTTTTCCTTCGATTATATATCTCTTCACGTCAAGATCTGGCAACCCACCACTGCTGATATAACGATATACTTTTTTCTCTGTGATCTCAACACTGAGTGCTGCGCATTTTAAAGTGATTCAGTATACAAGCAAAACTTTATGATCGAATTTTGTGGTTTCTAGAACACACCTGTCGACACTTTGGCCATTTATCGACACTTCGACCTTGTATCGACACTTCGACCTTGTATCGACACGTTGACCTTGTTTCAACACTTTGACCTGGTATCGACACTTTGACCTTGTATCGACACTTTGACCCTGTATCGACACTTTGGCCTAATGTCGACACTTTGTCCTTGTATCGACACTTTGACCTTGCATCGACACGTTAACCTAATAGCGATACTTCGACCTTGTTCGACATTTTTGCCTTCAATCGACACTTTAGCCTTATATGAATACTTAAGCCTTGTGTCGACAACCCTTTGTTTCGATTTCGACTTCGAGCCAACCATGTTTCATGCCATGTTCCTCATGTAAAACAAGACTTGTTCTGCAGCAGAAGCGGGCTGTGTACAGATACCCCATCCCAAACTTCAACTGCCACGCCACCACGCCGTGGGGAGGTCGTGACGCAACTTCCGGTCAGTAAACATCCGGTGTAACCACTATCAATCTGTTAATAGGTAAAACCAGAGTTGATATTGACACTTTGGTAAGTCATGAACCACTATCTATGCTGAGAACAGTGCCGGACTTTTACGGAAACGCACGAAACTACAACTTACGATACTTGTTGATATAAAGTAGACTTTAAAAAGAAATCTTACCCAGCACTAACATTTGGTTTTATTTACAAGGTATTATTCACATATTACAATACTGGAAAGGAAATCTTACACATTGCTCATGATGACATATATGTTATTTCCAAACAATACATGGACGTTCGTGATATAACACATGTTTTATTTGGGATAACACTTTCTGAGTAAAGTACAGATTCTCGTACTTTTTTGGGTTGAGCTCGTTGGGGATTCGAACCCAATAGGAAAATAAGGATAATGTGGTGTCCTTCTTACCAGGTGTAAAGTTGTACTTATATTAACAATGTTTGGGGTCAGGAAGGAGCGAGCCTCTTTTGTATCCTAACAGATGGTGGTTTTATTTCAGTCCATAACCTTCACCCCGGGGACATCAAGGTCGTTGGCGCAATCGGAGATTCTCTCACTGTAGGTATAGCTGTGATTGTTGCACCGAGTCTACACTTATAACAGACATACAGTAAACTACGGTTATAACGAACTCAAAGGGACCACTAATTTTAGTTCGTTATAACCGTAGTTCGTTATAAGCATATATACAGCATATATACATCAAATGGCCGGGCCTAGAAAATAAGTTCGTTATAAGCGTGTTCGTTATAACCGTAGTTTACTGTATTTACAAATTGATTTCAATATTGTTTGCGTTTATGGACGTATCAACGTAAGAAAACTGTCTAAAACCTATAGACAATTGGTAATCATTGACATTGTTCACCGCTATATACAACACAAGCTCCGCCTAGTCTATCATCAGCCAATCGTTAAACTGTAGTTCATTTGTGGGCGTGGCCTATTTTTTTAGGTTTATGGAAATATAAGCGTAAATGATTTTGCCTGCTGAATCACTTGCAACTTACTTATTATCATAAAATGGAAAGTGATGAAATTCCGACAGACATACAAATGATGTCCCCATCCTTCAGTAAACACTGCATCGGCGCGATGCTTACTGGCAGAAACTACCTATTGTCGAACCTAACCCCAAAGTTTAGATTTCCAGATACACGTGTGCCTACAATGTAAACAAACATGACAACAAATTACCCGGCACTATATGAAAAACGGGAGGTTCATTCAGGCATTGTATTCTTACGCGATCCTAAAGTTACTTTAGTAAATGATAATATATCTTAAACTTTTTAACCCCATTATTTTTCAAAAACGTTTTAAGGCGAGCATCACATATACTTAGTTTTAATGCCTATGTTCGATATTTACCATATTTACACTGAAGTAAGAATCAATTCATGTTTGTGCTTTAAATTAAAATCACCAAGTGATATCTTTACAGAAGTGGAGGTGTACAAACGAGAGAACAAAATGTGCCAAATTTAATCGGGGTTTTATTGAAAATATCGTTATTGACCGGAAGTGAACAATGCATTTCGCTTACAGTGATTGACCCCAATTGTGTTTGTTTTTTGCCGTTTCCTTAGAAAGCTCAAATAGTCTTCCGTGTTCCACCACCATGTCTTCTTGCTTACATAATTCGCTTGTACACGCACCAACAAAAAATCCAACTATGACCTTTCGATTTGAAACAACCCATTTAGTCAGGGCATGTAATGGACATTAAATGTTTGTGGTAAAAATAATTTATATGATATAAAAAGCCAACCCCAGGGAACAACCAGTCTCGATTGTCCTACGAAACAGATTCTATTGGGCGTATAAAGCAACACAGCGGCGAACACTATAAGGGATCACTGAAAACCCAAGGAAAAATATTTTTTTCAAAGTATTATCTGGAAAAAATAATTTAAACTAAATCAGCCCCCTCTCGTCAAAAATATGAAATGGTTTCCACAAAGGGCCGGTACAACATGTAATAACCATCTATCTAATATGTCGATGGTGGACGCGTGTTCTTTACTGACGTCCTGCGATCCTGGAAACACAGTTGGCAGCTCAGAGGTCAAATGTCAACAGATTTTTTATTTGTTTGTTTCAGGCCGGTAACGGCATTGACGCAAGCAACATCCTCGGTGACCTCGTGGAGTACCGCGGACTTTCATGGAGGTAGGATATCCAGCAGACAGTCTAGTGTATTTATACTCAGTGCCATGGCAGATTCGGGTCCATCATAGGACCACTGCCAGTTTTGGTGCATTCTGTGATCTGTGGAATGTTTCCTACCAATTGTTGACCTTGCTACGGCCACAAACATAATGCATTATATAGTTGTCTAAAAAGTCTAGTTTATGTTAAGGTGGCTTCACACGACAAACTTAAGTTTGCCGAGTTATGGTTACAAATATAGGTTTGTATGTGTGAAATTTGCGAAAGCAGTTTGCAAACTTGTTTGTGAAGTTTGACATCGGTCCCTATTGTCACCAATATTTTTCGCTTTAATGTTTTCAAACTCGATTATAAAGAGATAACCGACCCTTGATAAGGGTGTCCAGGTAGGGGATTAAACATCCCAAAAGAATACAATGGGCAGCATCAAGGTTACTCTATGGTGACGTCTGGAATGACGTCATGTGCATATGACGTCATCTCTATTGACATCATATGACAATGAGAAATATTCTATACTCTAATGACACGAAGATTTAAGTCCTAGCGAACATTCAAATTTCCCTCTGAAGTGACGTGTATCATTTTTATATCTCGGTAATACAAGTTGCATTCGTGCGCGCCATGCTGCACATAGTCTTTGACCCATATACAACATGGACGTGTCAGTTTTTGATATTTAACTGTTTTGTTGTTGCATATGTATATTACTTCTTTGCATGCTAATGTTAAACTACATGAAGTGGGTGCAATGGTTGTGAAAGTATATATAAATATATTGTGATTATCTAAATAGAGATTGGTGAATATTTCGTTATCGAAAAAGACAATATGTGACACCTACTTGGTCGGACGCTTATGTTGCAGTATTGGCGGCGACGGTAGCCTAGCAACAGGGGAACTCACTCTGCCAAGTATGTTTCTAAACTGCCGGGTAAAAGAAAGCATACACCCATGTTTGATGGTGGCTAAAAACGAACAAACCAGAAATAGTAATCGATCGTGATGAATTGGATACAGGTATCAAAGATGTGTGTTGGACACCTTAAGATTGCAGTGTTTCGGAGAATGTTTTCAGCCTAGTAACATTTTTGTCATTTTTTTGGGTCAAATCCAATCTTCAAGTGTATACTTTCTTTTGCCTGGCAATGTATATGTCCCATTAATTGTCCCAAACTGACCCTCTGTGATATATTGCTTGATGAAATCAGAGTCCATACCGCAGAACGTGCTTCCCTGACTATCGTTTGACATAATTGTTGAAATGTTCAAGCCTAGATTACATTATATGTTATACTCAAAACTCATTTTCTATGATTTTAATGAACCACTATGACGGAATTACCATCACAAATTAGGGTTGTAAGTTTTTTGAGATTTCGTACATGGTTTAAGCCGTTAAAGATATCTCAGTAGCAACTGCAGAAAGGCGTGAAACACTACGTAACCATCAATTCATAATGAATAATTTAGCATAAAATTGAATGATAAAGACAATGTCATCTTCATATCTTTTGATATGAGACATACCGACGCATGTCCATCATACTTTAATGAGGTAGGAGTTAGCCAGGATACCACCTGTGAACGCTATTGATACTGAACCTACAATTCTCGACAAGTAGGCAATTAGGAGATCATTTAATTTTAGATTTCTAAGATATACGTTAAATATGTATTGCTTTCTAAGGGTAACATGTTTGTTGTCGTGTGTCTTATGCATTATGTCGTGTGTCGTTGTCAATAGACAGCGCTATGGAGTTGACCGAAATCAGTAATTGAATTTCCTGTAAGTCCTGTTTTCAAAAGTGGCAAGATATGAAGGCGTCGCTTTTACCGGAGTAGCGGGGTGCCGGTGTTTCTCACTATAGAGTGGGTCCTAAAATGATGAAGAAGGTATCCAGCCATTCGATGTGTCCGTACTATAGGTAGCCAGACTTTCGAGGTGTCCGTACTAACGATATCTAGACTTTCGAGGTGTCTGTAGTAACGGTATCCAGACTTTCGAGGTGTCCGTACGAACTTTGTCCAGACTTTCGAGGTGTCCGCACTAACGCTGGCCAGATTTTCGTGGTGTCCGTACGAACGGTATCTAGACTTTCGAGGTGTCCGTACTAATGGTATCCAGACTTTCGAGGTGTCCGTACTAACAGTATCTAGACTTTCGAGGTGTCCGTACTAATGGTATCCAGACTTTCGAGGTGTCCGTACTAACAGTATCTAGACTTTCGAGGTGTCCGTACTAACGGTATCCAGACTTTCGAGGTCTCCGTAGTAACGGTATCTAGACTTTCGCAGGCAGGATCGCTTTCAGCAACATTTCAGAAATATCATGGCAGGAGACACCAAAACTTTGCTTCCCATATTGTACCCCTATAGAAAATTGAACCCGGTTTCGGCGGCACGGGCGAACACGTTAACCACTCGGCTACCCCACTGCTCTTTATGGTACGTTGTACGTATATGGTCCATGTCAACAGGATTAAAACGGGCATCGAGTCAAGACTGTATGTGAAACCTCGATACTCTGGACTCTGTTAATAAGGTCACTTCGTGCCCGTGAAGATCCGGGGTAGAATAGGTCTTCAGCAACCCATGCATGCCGTAAAAGGCGACTATGCTTGTCGTAAAAGGCGACTAACGGGATCGGGTGGTCAGGCTGGCTGACTTGGTTGATGCATATCATCGTATCCCAATTGCGTGGGTCGATGCTCATGATGTCAATCACTGGATTGTCTGGTCCAGACTCGATTATTTATACATACCGCCGTCATATAGCTATGATATTGCTGTGTGCAGCGTTAAACAACAAACAAACAAACAAACAAACAAACAAACAAAGGTAACCCCGTGGTCCGGACGTTGACGACTGGGAAGACTCACACGTGTACCAACTACACCACTACCTCCTCGTGATTCGTTTATCCGACCATTCAAGATGCCTGGGAAAACTATCGTACGGGTTAACGGGGTTACACTGAATATTGGCATGTCACTTTAAGCTTGTGAATTATTTTCCACCTGAGATGTAATAGTTCGGGTTTTTTTCCAGACATTTTAAAAAAGTTTGACCGTAATGTGTACGGCTATTCCTTGAAGACGGGCGGACAGAGCAGCGCTAATGCTATGTTCAATCTTGCCGACCCCGGAGATACCTCATTGTAAGTATTGCCCACATACTGAGGGGCAAAAGAAACTATACCTCTCAGTTAATTGTATCGTGTCAAACAACAGCCTCACAGTAGAGATAAACTGTTCTTAATTCTCCAAAATGAAAGACGCGCATTCCAAGAAATATCACCAGGAGCCTCATACTGAGCATGCGCAGACGATGCCAGGCACTTGTCTAGAGTCTTGGTGTTACAAACGTTATTATGATTCAGTATTGTGACATCAGTGTGGTCAATGTTGTCCTCCTTCGTAGTAAACTGATTTTCTCTCCAAATTCACGCGTTCCCTTCTTTGTAGCCGGGGATATAATACCAGGGATAATAGGCATTTTGTTTATCGACAATGGCACAGATACAATTCATTTCTTTACCAGTGTTTATCGGATCTATGTTCAAGTTTCAACTTCTCAGCTCCCAGCGAGTAAACAAACTCAAACTTCCTATCAGAAGATTAACTACACCATCTTACTTGTATACAAGTAGAAAGTGAAGTTACTAGAAATGTCCCTTATAATTAATTCACAGCAAAAGAAATCATTAATTTGTACTTTAAATACTGTTTGATTTTAGTGACATGCCTGAGCAGGCCCGACTGCTGATAGACAAAATGAAGGCCGACACGAACGTCGATTTTCAAAAAGATTGGAAAGTCATCACCGTCTTTGTCGGCGGCAACGACCTTTGCGACTCCTGCCACGACACTGTGAGTTTCTGAACCGGCATCGGCATGAGGTCTACTCCGGGTTTGATTTAGGCTGCGTCAAAACAATGAACTCCATCTAGATAGAACCCGTGGCGATTCTGTGGCAGAATGCATTCCTGGCATTTTTTTTGCTTGTCGCTGAAGCGGATTACATGAATGTTCGGGAGTGTCGCCCTTGCGGTCTGTGTCGTTGCATCCCCAAGGCTTTGGGCGTTCTTCATGTCACCAGACACGTGCGCTGAGCAATCTCATTAAAATCAAATCTTAGTTCCCGCTTCCCCTAAACAAAGATCTGAGGACATCCCATTACGGGTTACGTCGGACCGACCTTGCGCGAACTTTGACCGGCCAATGGATTGACCAATCAGAAGGGAGCTTTCTCGTGCTTTACGGCACTAATTTCAAACTGGCGACTACGCTTCGAAACACATTTTGACAAATTCTCGATTACAAATTTGAAACCTGAACAAAAGAACATTCTGGAATGGCTAATAGATGGTCTTGACTGTATGGATTCTGTCGTTTCACCCGTAACTATCGTTCAGAATACCCCGTGTTAAAGTTTTCGAGGTTGCATGATTAGAAATCACATTCCGACTGTCACTTTCATAATCTGGTAAGCAAAGCCCTGATTAGTCGGATAAAAGGTCGTTCTGACGTGACCCCTAATGGGATGTCTTCAGATCTTTGTTTAGCGGTAGCGAGAACTAAGGTCTGATTTTAATAAGATTGGTGCGCTGAGGTACCTAAGTTTGTTGTTTAGTCAACCAATCACCGAGCCTGGTCTCCAGATAGATTGTCACCACTCACGATGAGAATTGTTTGCTCGGTACCAGTTCGAACCCTGAGTTCACACGCGCCTCACGTACCTGGTCAGATTCAATGTTTACACGATGCTGTGGAATATTGATGAAGTTTTTACACACACTCATTCCTTGGGAATTCTCCACTTAAAGTGCATGTAGTTTCTTCATCTGTAAACGCTTTATATATATATAATATTAGTATTAAGCCTTCTTCACTCACTCACTTGCCAACCACCCATTCAACATACCACCCATCTACAAACCCACCCTCACTCACTCACTCACGCACTCACTCATCAACCCACCCACACCTATACCCACACCCATCCACTCAGTCACCCCGTCACTCACTCACTCATACACCCAATACCCACTCACTCGGTCACCACCGCACCCACCCACCCATCCATCCGCCCACCCACTCACTCCTCAGTCACGCACCCACTCACTCACTCCGTCACTCACTCACTCAGGCCAAGTACGCCGCCAGCAACTACGGATCCAACGTCCGCCAGGCCCTTGACCTCTTCCACAAGGAGCTACCCCGCACCTTCGTCAACCTCGCCACCATCTTCGACATCGCCCCCGTCGCCGCCCTCAGCACAGGGTTCTTCTGCAGCTTCGTTCACGCGTTCGTACTTATGTCTCTTCGCAGAATCTGCATTAACATGGGGGAATGAAAATGTAAATTATGTTAAACAAGTTTATGCGTGTATGATGTAAGGAACCTGACATTGCGTGGGCAAACAGTATCTCGTGACTGTAGTCGAAACTTTTCAAAAGTCACATTCACTTCAATCACACAAAACATCTTCTGACGTCACAAACAGCCAAAGCAGCTTCTGACAGTATGTTCAAGTTTGACTGCCGTTCCAATCCCACCAAGCACCGTTTCATAACAGCGGCAAACGGTTTATATTGTCATAAGAAATCTCTTCTACGTCAATTGTAAGACTGTATCACAAGCATGTCAGAGTGTGATGATACGAGGTGTTTGCGAAAAGCCATAATCACTTCAAGTGTTATGTTACGCAAAAGTCAAAATCACGTCATTATTGTATGATGTCACAATTACACCAAGTATTGTCTTACGTCAGAATCACATCATGTGTAGTCTAACGTCACAATTACGTCAATCGAGTCTAACGTCACAATCACATCAAACACTGGCTTACGTCAAATCATATTTTTTTACATGACAATCAAATCAAGTGATGTCTGACGTCAATTATTATCTAACGTCACAATTACGCTAAGTGCTGTCTAAAGTAACACTCACACCAAGTGCTGTCTGACGTAGCAATTATATACTGAATCGCAAAAGAAACGTCACCCCAAGTAACATTGCATGAAAAGTTGTCATTTAAATATCTTTGTAATTTTTGTCAAAGTTTCTTAAATGTAACATTATCTTGTCCGGAAAAATGAAATTTGATGAAAATAAAACAAAGCAGATCACAATAAAACCGATCGCCAAACGCATCACGGCAACAGCCATGGTAACCTGATGCACGTTCCGTGCAAATTGAATGAAATGCACATGCGTTGCCCCATTTCTTGCCCTATAAAAATCCACCCAGATCGGAAAAAAATCATTCGTTATTGAATTGCTACCACATGCCAAGATTGACAAGAAATCAGCGACACCAAGCCCTTGACGACTGCAAGCTGGACAAACAGCCCGGCAAGAAGCCAATGCATTTCAACTCCACGTAAGGACCATATACAGGCTCCAGCAACGGTACCACGCCACGTGGTGGACGACCAAGGGTCACCACCCGACGTCAGGGTCGTCAGATTCCGCGACAGCATCTTCAAGATCGCTTTGTTACTGCCGCGGAAACTGCTCGACAGTCCATGGGGACACACCAGTGACACATTAGTGCGGACACCGTGCGTCGACGATTGACGAGCAGACACCTCCACTGTCACAGGCCACACCGAGGACCCATTCTGACACCACGTCATCGCCGGGACCGTCTTCAGTGGGTAACACACCACAAGCATTGGCGCCACCAGCAGTGGAGAAGAGTCCTCTTCTCAGACGAGAGCCGTTACTTTATCTCAACAGCAGATAACAGAGGGAGAGTCTGGCGACGACATGGGGAACGTTATTCGGATGCTTGTGTTGTTGAGAGAGACTCGTGGGGTGGTCGGAGCATCATTGTGTGGGGTGGAATTGGTCATACACAGAGGGTAGGCCCTGTGGTCTTCCAGAACATCGGTCTAGGGAGAGGCAATGGTGTCACAGCAGCTCGGTACATTGATCAAGTCTTAAGACCACACGCCATACCTCATTTGGCACGTCACCGCAACCACGAGTTTCAGCATGATAACGCCCATGCCCACACTGCGAGAGCAACAAGAGACTTCCTCCAGCAGAATGGCATCAGAACCATGCAGTGGCCTGCCCTCAGTCCCGATTTAAATCCCATTGAGCACCCGTGGGACGAGATTCAAAGACGGCTGAATGACGTCCGCCCAAGACCGACATCTGCAGCTGAAATGCGTCAGGCGTTCCTCAGAGTGTGGGCTCAAGTGCCTATGGCCTTTATCAACCGCCTCATCCATTCCATGTATCGATCATTGCACATGGCGGACACACGAGATACTGAATTGTGATGCCATTTTCTCAGAGACTAGTGCAGTGTTTCACTTTAAGAACATCTGACACTTTAATTTTAACCTTGATGATCAGGTTTGCCAAGTTTCATCTTTGTAATATGTCTCAAAGTATGTTTACAGTGTTTGGACAAATATGGTTTCTCATATATCTATCCATGGTGACGTTTCTTTTGCGGTCAGGTATATCATGTATAGTCTTACGTCACAATCACATCAAGTGTTGGCTAACGTCACAATCACAATTGTGTAATCAGAGCTGTGAAAAGTATTAATTACACCAAGCCTTGCCCAACGTCACAATCAAATGAAACGTTGTCTAACGTCAATACGACATTGACTGATACCATGGCCTGTGTGTGCAGCTTGGTGTGTGACTGCGGAGACAATCGGAACAACGCTGGCGCTCTCCGGGACCTCGCCCATGCCTACCAGAATGAACTGTCGACTCTCGTCGCCAGCGGCAGATACGACACAAGAGATGATTTCACCGTCGTGCTCCAGCCGTTCTTCACCAACACGGAGCCCCCGGCAAAGGTGAGTTATATACCAGGTGACCCAATTACCCAATTACCTAATTACCCTGTCATCCAATTACCCAGTCACCTTATTACCCAGTCACCCAATTACCTAATTACCCAGTCACCCAATTACCCAGTCACCCAATTACCCAGTCATCCAATTACCCGATCATCCAAAGGCCCAATTACCAAGTCACCTAATTACCCAGTCACCCAATTACCCAGTCATCCAATTACCCAGTCATCCAATTACCCAGTCACCTAATTACCCAGTCACCAAATTACCCAGTCACCCAATTACCCAGTCATCTAATTACCCAGTCACCCAATTACCCAGTCACCTTATTACCCAGTCACCCAATTACCCAATTACCTAATTACCCAGTTATCCAATTACCCAGTCACCTAAATACCCAGTCACCCAATTACCCAGTCTCTCAATTACCCAGTCACCCAATTACCAAATTACCCTTTCACACAATTACCCAGTCACCCAATTACCCAGTCACCCTTTCACCCAATTACCCAGTCACCCAATTACCCAGTCACCCAATTACCCAGTCATCCAATTACCCAGGCACCCAATTACCCAGTCACCTAATTACCCAGTCACCCAATTACCCAGTCTCTCAATTACCCAGTCACCCAATTACCAAATTACCCTTTCACACAATTACCCAGTCACCCAATTACCAAATAACCCCTTTCACACAATTACCCAGTCACCCAATTACCCAGTCACCCTTTCACACAATTACCCAGTCACCCAATTACCAAATTACCCAGTCACCCAATTACTCATTTACCCTATCTCCAAATTGATTAATTATCCAGTTACCCAATTACAAAGTCACCTAATTACCGGATCACCCTTTTACCCAATTACCAAGTCACCCTGTTTCCAAGTCAGACATGTACCCAGTCTCTTAATTAGCCAATTACCAAGTCACCCATTTAACCAGTCACCCAACGTTCCCCTGACATGGATGTGTGTTCTTCACGCAAAGACGTATCGTATCAGAGTAAATGATGTGACTTTAATGATATTGTGAAACACCCCTCTTAAACTATCTTTGAGCCATACTTAATAATCAACTACCTAAGGATTATGTTTTCTTGCATATATTATCCTAAATTGAAATGATGGACGATTTATTTTTTTCAATCACAATATGTAAACTGCCGGGGGAAAATGCATATCCTTGAAAATTGGATTTGGCCAAATAATTACAATACTTAGCGAAACGTTACTAGGCCGTACACAGTCCCCAAACTGCAAACTTACGACCCAAAGAACAAATATGATACTCACTATCGAATAACCATTTCTTGTTTGCCTTATTTTCAGCCACCATCAAACATTGCGTATACTTTCTTTTGCCCGGCGGTTAATAACAATATAAACAAAAACTTTGTTAACATTGAAGACCGCCTCCGTGACCTAGTGCCAGAGCGTCCGCCCGGAGACCGGAAGGTCCGGGGTTCGATCCCCGACCGCGTCATACCAAAAGACGTTAAAAGATGGTACTTGTTGTTACCCTGTCTGGCGCTCGGCATTAAGGGGCTAAAACAAGGACTGGTCGGCTCGGAGTCAGTATACTGTGTCTGAGTGGGGTATTCATGTTAAACTGCGGCATGGTATCTCATTGAGCTAGCACTATAAATCGGCATCAGTCTCGACTAGTACAAGCAGCCACACAAACACACACACGTACATGCACGTCGCTATATAGGTGCAATAATATTGAACGCGACGTTAAACCCCATTTCACCTCGCCACCTTGTTAACTTTGGAAGGTGTAGGCATGTAGGCAGTTGTTATTTTTCGTCCTTGACCTTCATCTATCTGTTTCAGCCTGGCTCCCCCGGTGACATTGACATGACCTTCTTCTCTCCCGACTGTTTCCACTTCAGTGGCAAAGGTCACGGCGCAGCCGCACTCTCCCTGTGGAACAACATGGTGGGTAGCGTGCTCACCTTCGTGATTGACGACCAGCCTCTCCCTGAGTTTACACTTTGTGTGGTCTAATTGCGTGTCTGATCGTCCCACCCAATCTCTCATAAGGAGGGGCACGGGTGGCCCAGTCGTATAAAGCGCCGCGATTCGCGGTACCGCGTTTCGTCCCTAGGGCTCGCGAGCATTCTATGGGTTCGAATCCCGGTTCGCCCCGATTATGTTTCTAGGTTTGTCAGCATCATACCCGTACTCGTGGGTTTCACCGAAGTGGTAAATGTCTGAGACCTGCATCACTTCGGGCTTTCCTCCCACATTAAGCTGACACGCCGTGATACAACTGTAATATAGCGTCGTTAAACCCAACTCACTCACTCACCCACCCACCCATCCACTCACTCACTCGATGCTGAATGGATGAACTGCCTTGCATACAGTTGATTGTGGTAGCTATCTAGTCTGTGAGATGTTATTGTTCACGTCCAATTAGTGAGTAAGTATGGTTTTACACCGCGTTAGGTTATATTCTAGCAATATCACGGTGGGGGACGAGCGATCGCTTCAACCACAAGGCTCCCCCACCGACTCCAAGTTCATCTCACAATTGTCCAACTGGGTTTAAGTCAGGACCTTCAGCTGGCCATCTGTGAAGTCGCGATGGAATCCGATTCGTCACTGAACATGGTGTGGCGTCAACGTGACGAGTGCCTGGCGCCATGACGTCCCGCCAACTCCATTTTGATTAGTGACAAGAAGTTTATGACCAAGCAGTTTTCGAAGATGTTTTAATCCTTTGTTATGGACTCGGCGTTCATGGTAATCTGAATGTATCCGTTAACGCTATCACTTCATGTGGTCACTGTCTATAGTTTGTGTCTACCTCAACCCTTTTCACGTCATGGGTTTGCTGCAAGAGGTCGGTATAAACGTGAGTGTATCAGTAGGTATTAGGGTCGCTGTTGGACTCCACAAAACGACCTGTGTACGGTGGAATAGAATACTTCAGTTCATCCTCAGCCATCTGTTTCAGATTGAGACCATGGGTCAGAAACAGCTCGAGTGGCACCTGGACCAGCCTTTCCTCTGCCCTGGGGGTTCTGTAAGTAAATGTTCTACCGCGTTGAAATCAAGTATGGTAAATCTGTTATCTTATCAGTGAGGACATGACTTCAGCCTTGGGTTATATCTTACGTTCAGCACGAAAAAAACCCTGATATCATGTGTAGGCTTCAACAAAATGATATCCCGTGTAAGCTTCAACAAAAGCTGATATCATGTGTTGGCTTCAACAAAATGATATCCCGTGAAGGCTTCAACAAAAGCTGATATCATGTGTAGACTTCAACAAAATGATATCCCGTGTAGGCTTCAACATTACATGTTGAACCACAATTGTCATGATCCGCTGATTCGTGTCTGGATTGTAGAATCCTGCCGAATAAGATCCTTGATTTACCAGCAACCTTCCCGTGATCACGCTTACAACCGTCGTCACAATGGGATTTCCATTTTTCTGACTCGTCATATAACTGAAATACTGTTAATACAGCGTTAATACAACTCACTCACTCTTGTTTGCAGAAGGGGGTAGATCACTGGTTCTTTGCGACGACGAAAAATTAGTTCTCCGACACGTGATATATCGACACCTTGTATTTGAGGAAGCCATCGAGCGATACCCACAGGCTTGAAGACCTAAAGTAAAACGTGACCTCAATACGTCTCAATCGAATTCCAATTTTGTACTCGACACCAGTGTTGTCACTATTACTAGAGCTGCGCTTGGATTGACCGCTTGGTGGCTATCTTAAACTATTTTAGGAGTAAAGGTCAATATTTTATCATATATGGAACTCGTTTGTTTTCTAATGCTTTACGCAAAGTGTGCGAGCCGGTGTTTTACGTTTATACCTCCATAACCGCAAAAATATATTGACGTATATTCTTATGAATTATCAGTAAACAATTACTTCACAAACTGATAATCTAATTATAAACACAAAAATTGTAGACAACGCTCCGCCCACGCGCCGCTCCGCCCACTCTATTATAAGCCAATCAAGAAACAGTAGGTCGGTAGTGGGCGTGGTCTATTTCTTTCAGGTTTATGGACCATAAAGGCAAACACGTGAACTAGTTAGCCAATCAAATGCATTGAATCACTTGCAATAATTTAATTGTAAAATAATTCTAATCGCCACTAAATATATTCTTGATCAATAGCTCTTGAACAAACTGGCACTTGTCGCAATGGCGTTTGTTGATGCACAACTGCTGGAAACAAACGAACTCAAGTTCGCTATGGGTGAGGCGAGGTGAAATTGGGTTAAATGTCGCGTTGCGACGTGCATGCACGTGTGTGTGTGTATGGTTGCTTGTGCAAGTCCGGACTGATGCCGATTTATAGTGCTAGCTCAATGAGATACCATGCCGCAGTTTAACATGAATACCCCACTCAGACACAGTATACTGACTCCGAGCCGGCCAGTCCTCATTTTAGCCCCTTAATGCCGAGCGTCAGACATTGTAACAACAAGTACCATCTTTTAACGTCTTTTGGTATGACGCGGCCGGGGATCCAACCCTGGACCTTCCGCTCTACCACTAGACCACTGAGGCGGTCACGTCGCGATCGGGGAGCGACAATGAGGTCGTATGTTTTGCATAGTACATTTACTTTTAGTGACTTTTACGTGTCATTTCTCATACACATAGCAAGTGTAAATTGGTCACCAATGCGATGCTCAATATGGCCTCATCCTTGAGGCGTTGTCTGGCGAATTAAATATCAGGTTCTTTACTTAACCTACATGTAAATAATATCTGTTCTATTCAGCATATGACTAGGAATATATCTAATATCGCTCCCTTTCCGTATTTGATAATTATCCAAGTACCGACAAGTATCGAATACACTATTTCTGAGAGAAGCTTCGGAGCCAACCCTGGCAGGTATTCAAGAGAAAAAAGGTAATTAATTGAACAGACGTATAAATACACGTCCCTGAGAGAAATGCACTTTCTCCAACTAGACCAATTCCCAATATAGCAGCAAGGCTTCTACCACAGGTAATACGATACCCCACGTTAGTATCACTCGTGGCATTAGCTTGGCGTCAAGGATAGTCCTTGTTAGTGCACATTGCTTCACTAATCTATGGCGCCACAATTGGATGTGTAGAACTGCGCCGTTTTTGTTAAAACGTAAATGTTTCTCGGGCATATATACTCAGCGCCAAAAGAAACATATAGAGAAGTATGAATGCCAAGAGATGTTTCCAATGTGTACCACTTAATGACAAGACTATCAATCAGCCAAGTGTTACCACCGTGTCTTTATTCCCATCACGATATGCTGCAAGATATTTCCAAGCTTGACACGCTAATCCTGCAGGATATTTCCAAGCTTGACACGCTAATCCTGCAGGATATTTCCAAGCTTGACACGCTAATCCTGCAGGATATTTCCAAGCTTGACACGCTAATCCTGCAGGATATTTCCAAGCTTGACTCGTTAATCCTGCAGGATATTTCCAAGCTTGACACGCTAATCCTGCAGGATATTTCCAAGCTTGACACGCTCATCCTGCAGGATACTTCCAAGCTTGACGCGCTAATCCTGCAGGAGACAAATGGTGCATCTCGAGTCATGGATCAATGACGTCACGCGTGATGCGTTCATGAGCGTCGGTTCACGCAACGTAACAGTATGTTCGTTTATACATCGAACCAATCGAATATGTTTTGAATATGAGTTATTCTTCATATAAAATCAACATGTATGGTATTTGCGTTTCTTTTGTCAGAGAGTATATATTTCAAAAGTAAGGAGGGAGGAAAGATTAAAAAAATACAATATTGAAAAAATTATGAGGACCATTTTGATTATTTCCTCCACATAGAATACCAACACACACATCTGGGCCTACTTTGAAGTCGGTTACTTAATACAAGTGCCAGTTGTGAAAAGAAATCATATCTCACGAGATATTTTGAGCTTATCGAGTACACACGAGTAACTGAATTCAGCAACGAACTTGTAGCAAGGTCCTGTCAGTCAAATTTCAGTTGACGTCACTAAGTTTAACCTGGTTCACGGTTCTCTATGCGCGTCGTCAACTTGTGACATGTAGAGACAGGGCCCAGTTGATTCATCTCGCCGCCGCACATGAAGTGACACCCCTTTTCACGTTTTGCACGTGCGACACGGACGACCTTGAGATTAGAGATCTGTCGACAACAGTGTCAGTCCGTTAGTGTGTGTGTGTGTGTGTGTTTGCGTGCGTGCGTGCGTGCGTGCGCGCTTGAACTAGTCCGGATTTATAGTGCTAGCTCACTGAGTCACATGCCGCAGTACTTGTTTTAGCCCCTTAATGCCGAGCGCCAGACAGGGTAACAACAAGTTCCATCTTTTAACGTCATTTGGTATGACGCGGCGGGGATCGAACCCCAGACATTCCTCTCTCCGGGCGGACCACTAGAATACGGAGGCGGTGACGATAGAGGCGGTGGCACAGATCAGGATGTTGACAACGATTTAGCCGACCGTGAAAGGAATACTTCTTAATTTAGTACTAAAAACTTGAAATGGAAACAAGAAGGATTACTTGCGTGAACGATGCACACAGCAGGAAACTTGACACATTTTTTCTTGGCCTAAAACATCAGCTGTTTTACAGAGAGGGCTGATTGTCTCCAGACCGACAATCAGTCTAAAGTAGGGAGATACGGGGGATTGATGAACTGGCGTGAATGTGATGCCTTTCAATCGGTGAGGTTAATTGCTAGACCGTAGGATTAATGAAGCTGGCATGGTTTGATCTTTGGCTGGATAAATGTTAATTCCTTTGAATCAAGTTTGTGCGGAAAATTTCCAAAAGTCACCTTCGTGTCTAGCAGTTTCTAACACCCCAATCTGACAAAACATTGTCTGACTTCGCCAATGCGCCAAGTATTTTCTAACGTTATGTTAGCATTGACATTTAAAAGAAGGCACAGGGAGAAATCAAATATTAAATTCGTAATAATTATTTCACAGTGAATGCCTCGAGGAGTACTGAATCAACTGTCGTCTGAACGCTGACAGTATTCAGGTTATATCATGGCGTGTCAGCTTGGATCATTCGTGACCAACTCGTGTTATTCCGGGACAAGCCGAATAGCGACTCGTGCCTCTCTCGTGGCAATTTTTGTGACCGGGTTCCGTCTTAGCGCAAACGGGCATACCTAAAACAATTGTCAACTAGTTGCGTAATGGTTCACATATATTTCCCCATATATTATATATATTTCAGATGCAATTCAAAGCACATCGGGACATGCGGAATTATACAGTATGATTGGACACATTTAACTGTGTATTGGGTATATTTTTAGATGCAAGACATATGTAAAATCAAAAATTATTTCTGAGGGATTCTTTGACGAAGAACTTGAAACCATACGCGCATTCTGATTGGTTTGTCGTATTTTCGCACATAACATTCATCGATAGGGGGACGAGCCTTCTTGCTGGTTACGGAAAGGGGCGAGTGGTGACGAATGAGCTTGGATGTCGGAGGAAAACCCGAAGTGATGCAGGTCTCAGACGTTTTGCTCCACAAAATACTGCCCTCGGGGTCTATCATGAACTGGTTGTTCTAAAAATATTTTTTGTTTGGCTCCTCACAGAATGGAAATTGTCTGTTTTGAGTGAGTGAGTGAAAATGATTTTACGCCGCTTTTAGCAACATTCCAGCAATATCACGGCGGGGGACACCAGAACTGGGCTTCACACTTTGTACCCAGTGCGCCCTGAACCAGAAATTGTAACATAGAAATTGTGTGTCTTGAAACAGACACTGAAACATTGAAATTGTGTGTCTTAAAGCAGACACTGAAACATGGAAATTGTGTGTCTTGAAGCAGACACTGAAACATGAAAATTGTGTGTCTTAAAGCAGACACTGAAACATGGAGATTGTGTGTCTCGAAACTTTAGTTTGTTATAATCGCAGTTTGTTGTAAGCATATATACAGTATAACAATACTTAGCAAATAGTCGGGACAAAAAAATCAGTTCGTTATATCCGTCAGTTCGTTATAAGCGTGTTCGTTATAAACGTACGTATACCATATTAACAACTTGTAAGGTAGCACAGCTCGTAATACAAAATAAAATTGATTTCTCTTCACAATTTCGCTCACCACCGAAACGTCCTCTAAACGTTCATTTTACGTGCGTTTCCTCAAATTTGAATAAATCCAATGACTTGCATGCAAATTGATTAACACAGGGACTGAAACGCAAGTAAACGCAATTATATTTCAACTTTTATTTAATCACTATCACGTTACGTTCGCCATGCAGCCCACCAGGGACACGCGAGCCACTTCCTGTCGCTGTAGGTGCTGATTTACTCATTCTGGTGTTCCGTTTTCGGAATATTCCCAACACATTCAAGACAGAACCACGAGGGGCCGGCCACCTCATGCCACAGCAACTGCAGAAATCTCTTGTACATACATGTAGTCTTGTTTGTTGTTTGACGCCACACTCCGCTATACTCCCGCACCAGGACGGCGGCTGGGAGCGTGGGGATGGAGATTGTTGCTGGAGGAAGGGCCTTTGATGTCCAGCAACAGATGACTGAGGACGTAGTCGATGTATCGGCGAGCACTGACACCATCCGCCCGCTCGTTACGCTCTGGGTTCCATTCCCAACATGTGTACAGTGTGTGAAACCCATTTCAGGTGTCCCCCGACGTGATATTGCTGGTGTTACTCAATGCGGCGTAAAACCATGCTACATTGATATAGTGTGCGCTGCATGATATTATACTATCTGATCGTCATGGTAACAGTTC